CACCCTTTCCTAGTTGGTAGGAAGGCCTTTCCCCTTTATACACTTTCTCTTATTTTCTCTATAACTTAGGATGCTTTTAGATGAGGATGGGGGTGAGGATAACAGCTAACATTTATTGAGTCAGACATTGGGTTCCTGAGAAGAAACTCAAAGAGTAGCATGCACGATGTGCTGCTTGGATCCATGTCCACAGAAAGGGAAGAAAAAGAAGCAGAACTGGGCAGAGGGAGAAGCTGAGCCGAGAAGGAAGCCCAACAAAGGCTTCCATTCACCCCAGGGAGAGGTCCCAGGACCTGTGTGACCTTCCAGAGTTGTCCCAAGTTGAGGCAAGGGGTCTAGCCGTTTATACTTCCTCATAGATCAGTCATTGGATGTAGACTGCTCCCAGAAAGAGGCCCTGGCCTTAGGGTAACAAGGTCATTTCCCCTGGGACAATACTTCTAAAAGACTCCCAGGGGTTGGGGGAAATAAGTCTTCTATTCCCAAAGTGTGGATTGGGTGACACATCAGAGCCCCCACAGCAAGCACATACTACATGTCCAGTCTTGTCCTACACCCTTCACATTCTCTCACTTAATCCCCACTTAAATTAAGTGAGAGTATAGTCAACCATCCTATGAGGTAGGCACTAGAATTATCTCCTTTTTGTATGTGGAAACTGATGCACAGAGAGATTTAATAATTTGTCTGATGTCACACAGCCACAGAGACGTGGAGCCACAATTTAAACCTAGGCAGACTGACTCTGATGATCATCTGCCCACCCCCCCTCCCATGCTAGTAAAAGAAAAACCAACAAAAACTGGACAGGGATTTTTCCCAAACAACACGTAGAACAGTGTTGAGCACATCATAAGCACTCAAAATGTTGTGAATGCATGAATCGGTTCACAAGGGGAAAAATCCAATGCTATGCATTTCAAGAGCAACTGGAAGCCTGGCTCTACTTCTCTGCTCGCTGCCTTCTTCCATGTGTTGGCTTTGTCCTCAAGGTGGCTTCCATGAAGGTCATAAGATGGTCTCGGGGCTACCTGTATCTGTACTTACACCAGGAGGGGAGAGAACTTCACTTCTTTACCCATCAGAAGACTCAAGTGTCACACTTCCCAGTCTGAACTGATCACGGAGGCAAAAGGATTGAGATTATGCTGATCACTAGGACAGTCAGGAACCCCCTTGATATCCCGCCCAAACCTAGGAGGCAGATATGAGTGCTAGTAGGAATTACAGAGAAGAGGAACGGATATTGAGTAGGCAATCAATGAACAACCACTGACGCTTCAACCCCGGGCCCCAAGCCCTCGAATGCTTTGCTCCCCTCGCTAGGGTCTAGCTTTTCCTTCTCCTCATTCCCTGCCTAAATGTCCCTCGTCTACCTCCATTCTGCCACTGAGGGCTTAGAACATGGGTTACCCTCAGATCCTGTGGGAGGAGGGGAACAAGAAGAAAGCAATCCACTGAGAGAGGGGTCTAGGCTTGGGATGTTTAAGATAATTCTTTACATAGCTACATTAACCACATTGCAGAGCCTCAGATAATCCCCTGTGGCCACACTATGTAAAACGTGCCATACTCTCTTCTCCCCTTCCCCTGCTTTATTTTCTTCATAGCCCTTATTTCTGTCTAGACTTCTCCTGTGTTTATATTTATTCCGTTGTTTGGTGTCTTTTTTCTCCACAAGAATAGATGCTCCACAAAAGCAACTACTTTATCTCATTCATCTCTGAGTGTTTGTCACCTAAAACAGTACCTGACACAAAACAGGTGCTCAGTAGACATTTGTTGGGTGGATCGATGGATCGATGGATCGAAGGATGGATGGATGGATAACCACTGCCTTTATGCTGTTATATAACAGGCTCTGTCTCCTCCTCCACTTTGAATGGCATTACCAAAGACCTTTTTCTGTTTTCCTCAACTTCCAAGTGACAGGCCCCAGAAAGGCAAGTGAAGAAAGACAAGAGAAGAAATGCCATCCTATCTCAAATAAATCACAGTCCATCCTCTTGAACCAGAGAACATCTGATCCATAGATACTTGTCATCTCTAGGTAGAGTTTAAGAGGAAACAAATCAATGAAACCATTTTGTCTGTACAGATTTCACAAATGTGATTTTTGACAACAATCCTTCTCAATTCTTAATAATCATTAAATTGATAGCAATCACACATGCGCTGCGAGGCCAGCAATGACTGTCTCACCTCGGCTAATGTCTAACCGGAGAGTGCTGATTGTCTCAGTCAACCTGTGTTCACATGGTCCACAGGCTCTTCGCCACAGAATGAGGATAATTCTGTCCTCTTCTGCATGGTGATTTGGAAGCACCAGTTAAGATAAAAAAAAAAAAAAAAAAAAAAAAAAAAACACAGTTTGAAGCCAATCTCTCTGGGTTCCAATCCCAGCTCCACTTTTTACTATTGGGTGGTTTAGAGTAAGGTAATTGATGCTTCTGTGTCTCCACTTCCTTATTCATCAAATGAGGATACTATTAGTAACTACTGCTCAGGACTGTTGCAAAGATGAACGAGTGATTACCTGTGAAGCACTGAGAGGAGTGCCTGGCTCATAGCAAGCACCAAGTAAGTGTTGGCTGCTGGAACATCTGGTCACAGTGTTGAAGAAATCAGGCATCAGGCAAGTCTTCTTCACTTACACAACTCACTCATATACATGTGATACATGCGTAACACACGTAACACATACAACATACAACACAGAATAACACATAGAAGACACCACAACACATACACATGTACACACATAACACAGCCAAGCATTTTTCTATACTCTGTACTTGGTAGTTTCATGCAACTTTAGAGCCAGATCGCTGTGAAGACACACTCATGGTACTCATTGCTCTTCCCCATTGTACGCCAATGTGACATCATGCAATGTTACGATAAAGCAATTTACCAATTGCTCATTCAAATTGCTCCCAGAGCAAAATATTCATTACCAGTTTGTTTCAGAAGCTTCTCAGAGGGGCACCTGGGTGGCTCCGTGATTGAGCATCTGCCTTCAGCTCAGGTTATGATCCCGGGGTCCTGGGATTGAGTCCCACATCAGGCTCCCTGCAGGGAGCCTGCTTCTCCCTCTGCCTGTGTCTCTGCCTCTCTCTCTCTCTCTCTCTCTGCGTGTCTCTGTCTCTCATGAATAAATAAATAAAATCTTTTAAAAAGAAAGAAAGAAAAGGAAAAAAAAGAAAAGAAAAAAAGAAAAGAAAAGAAGAAAAGAAAAAAGAAGAGAAGAGAAGAGAAGAAAGAAAAGAAAGAAAAGAAAAGAAAAGAAAAGAAAAGAAAAGAAAAGAAAAGAAAAGTAAAGAAAAGAAGAAGCTTCTCAGCAATCGTGTCTTCTCCAGTGTAGTGTGGTGTTCTGGTGGAGAGTTCTGGAGTCAGACATGAGTTCAAATCCTGACATTACTACTTACCAACTGTGTGACTAGGGGCAAGCTGCTTAACTACTCTAGCTGTTAGCTAGCTAGTTTCCTCATTTTATAGATGAGGAAACAAAGAACCAGAAAGAACAAACACTAAACAGGATTCTCATGTTGTTATCCTCAAAGATGTACCTTGCATGGTTGTTATAAGAAATGAAAAGATAAGGTATGAACCACATTTAGATGAGTGCTGAACACATCCTAATATATGCTAACATAACGTGTGGTGGGTAAATGGTAGTGGTGATGAATTTGAGTATTTCTTTCAGGATGAAAAAAAGTCACTCCGACTAAACTGTTAACCGTTAATGAAACCGATGGTGACTTGAGTTCCACCAGCACATTTGGGTTCCAGATCCATAAACTTTGACCCAGCATCGTTTTGTAACTGTACCATTTCCCTTCATGAAATTTGAGAGGTGATGTTTTGACATTGTTTCATTTCGTTTCATTTCCTCCTTATGGGTGGGCTTAACTTGTTTCTCAATTTAGGCCAGGCAAAAGGGAGAAGTGTTTTAAATCGCTGTGATAGCCCAAGTCGGTCCTACCTTCTGGTCCCTAAGAAGGAGTCTCAAGTTCTCTTCTCCCTCTCCCATGGTGTTTGGGCTTTTTCCAGCCCCTGTGATTGCCAAATATCATGCTTTCCTTCGTTTCCTCCAAAGCTTCCCTTTCCCCTTCAGCTTTCCCCCCGGGCATTTGGGTACCTTAACAAGGAGCTTTGAAATAATATCTTAGCCATATTTCACGTCCTTGTGGTGCCTTTCTGCTCACTTGGTGCTTTCAAGTCCATTCCTCATTACTGGCTGAAGGGAGACGAAAGTCCTCTCTGTGATGGCACAGCCAAGGCACAGGAGGTAAACCAGCAAGCTCCAGGCATCGGCCTTCAAACAAATGCCCCTGTCTCCTGGTACAATGAGAAGGCAGTCTCTACTTGACATTTTTTTTAAGATTTTATTTATTTATTTATTTTTAAAGGTTTTATTTATTTATTCATGAGAGACAGAGAGAGAGAGAGGCAGAGACATAGAAGAGGGAGAAGCAGGCTCCCTGGAGGGAGCCTGATCCAGGACTCGATCCCAGGACCCGGGAGATCACAACCCAAGCCAAAGGCAGACACACTCAACCACTGAGCCACCCAGGTGCCCCTCTAATTGACATTTTAAATTGTGATAAAATCTAGTAACACAGAATTGACCATTTTGATCATTGTCAAGTGTACAGTTCAGTGGCATTAAGCACATTCACAGTGCTGAGCAGCCCTCACCACCGTCCATCTCCACAACCCCTTTCACCTTCCCAAACTGAAACTCTGACCCATGAAACACTAACCCCCACCTTCCCTTCCGTGACCCCTGCGAACCACCTTTCTACATCTTGTCTCTGCAAAGGTCCTGCTCTAGGTCCCTCCCTTAAGAGGACTCACACAGTGCTTGTCCTTTGGCGTGGCAGACACTTTAGCAGCAAGATTTCTAGGAGGACATACCAGGATTCTTTCCTCCACTGCATTTGTTTTGCTAATATTGCACATTAGCCAGAAAGAATGCCTTTTTTTTTTTTTAGTCAAGTGTCAGACTATTAATTATCCAGATGTTCATGGGCCAGAACACTCAGCGTAGACAAGCCTCTCTTTCTGCCACCTAATGACACAAGTGTGACACAGCAGCCGCCACATCTGCAATGTCTCGGAGGGCAGGAAGGTGTCTACTCTTTACCCTAAAGTAACCTACCCTCATGGACGCGAACACCTCACAGCCCCTGCCCTGCAAAGCAGGTGTTTGCTAACATTTGTTTTACGCTGAATGCTCTTCGTTCCTCTTGCCCTCCAGTAATTACTTGACTTGTGGACATCAGCAAAAAAGAAAAGGGGGGGGAGAACAGGGGAGGTAGTTATGACAGGGGACACAGGAGAGGGGAGGGGAGGATCGGAGGGGAGGGAAGGGAAGGGGAGAGGAGGGGAGAAAAAAAAGGAAAAGCAAAAGAGCTCCTAAAGAGGGATACAAGACATTCTCACCTCTGAGATTCCCAAAGACACACACCCCCATCCAGTGGCCTGTGTGTGTGTGTGTGTGTGTGTTGTTGTTGTTGTGTTGTTTTGTGTTTTTGTTTTGTTTTAGAGAACTCTGTGATCTACTTCAATTCATGTTTCGCCAAGAAAGCTAAAACAGCTGCAAATCCTTTCTGCCCGGAAAGCCTTCCAGCCTTTCCAAAGGCCTCTTTGCTAGTTCGGTGGCCACTTCCCTCCCTCCCAAGCTGGCCAGCCTCTCCCAGCCCACTGCCCCCCTGGTACCCCAGGTCACCCACCCAGGTCCCGCGAGAAGGCACTACTCTCTGGAAGTGGCCCTGCCTTCTCTGGATTACCATTACTTAGAGAAGTGCAGGCCACCTTGGGCACCCCAGCCCCCCTCCCTAGGCTTCCCCCTCAGAAAACTGGCTCTGCTGCCCGCTGGTAAACGGGCTGGCTGTCACCAAGACAACGGCCTGGCCTAGAGCCTGGATGACGCCAGGCCTGACTCCCCTCCCAGCCTCACCCAAATCTGTTTGTTCAAGTTCCAGCTGCTTTTGTTGGGCTTCATTTTGCTTGTCAGTTTGAGGCATCTCTGCTGCTGATTGGTTGCAGGGGGCTGGGTTTAGACTCCCTGGGTTACTAACCAGGAAGTCAGCTCCCTGCCCAGGCAGGAATTTCCTGGCACCCTGGGGTATTTCCCCATCACAGTAGGGAGAGCTAGAAGAGCCTTTCAGGCAAAGCAAAGCCTATAGGAAGCCGAGGTATCAGATAATCCAATAATGCTCTGATCCTTGGGACAACTTCAATCAAGGGCACTCCTACTAACTCATCTTGGCTTTCTGATGCCACACTCATGACCAAAGGCCAGCTCATTGTTTCATGAAACTGAAGAAGCAGCACACCATGTTGACAGAACAATCCAACTATGCATTAACATCAAAAATAAATAAAACCAGGGGCACCTGAGTGGCTCAGTGGCCAAGCATCTGCCTTCGGCTCAGGGTGTGATCCCAGGTCCTGGGATCGAGTCCTACATCAGGGTCCCTGCAGGGAGCCTGCTCCTCCCTCTGCCTGTCTCTGCCTCTCTCTGTGCCTCTCATGAATAAATAAATAAATAAAATCTTTTTAAATAAATAAATAAATAAAACCAAGAAGAAGAAACAATTATGTGGATTTCTGAGGAACAGTGGAAGGTGAATGTAGCAATAGACATCCAAGTGAATTTTCCCCTCAACATTTGGGGTGGTTTTGCTTCTACTATTTGGATAACTCTAGAAGCAGGAATCTGGAATGTTGTTTGGGACCAATCTGAAACCACACTGACTAGCCTTTTGCCATTTCATCAGGTCATTCTCTCCCAAATAACTCATTTTAGTAACTTGCTTGGACTCCAGGGTTCCTGAGTTTATCCCCAGATTCTCTGATTTGTGGTATAAAAGGGGCTTCTCGTGTGTCACCTTTTGAAGCTGTGTCAGGTCAGCCTCAGCTCCTCGTCTATAAAACAGGGGTGAATTATGCCAGCTAACCAGGTTGTAGAATACTTAGCTTAGTCTTGGCACTTACTGAGCAATTATCATCATTGACTTCCACCGATGCCTGTTTTCTGAGGATCCTGACACTCTTTATAAAAATTACATCATTGATTCAACAAATATTTATTTAACAAATATTTACTAAGTCTCAAGTGGCCAGGCGCTTTGCTAGCCACTAGTGATAAAGTGATAGAAACACACACAGTTCCAGTGCCTCGGTAGCTTCTGCACTAGTGAGGGAGACAGACACAAAAATAATCACACAAAATGTAAAATTACATCTGTGTTGTAGACCCTCCAAACCAGCCCACCTCCCAGCCAAATACCACAGAGGACGTCAGTCTGTGCCATACTGAACAGAACTTCCTAGCTAATGCCTGTCTTAATTCCTAACTCACAAAATCTCGAGATATAATAAACTGGTTGCTGTTTTAGGTACTGTTCTCCAAAAAAATAATTTCACGTTATTAAGTGCCTAAAGCATTAAGAGAACGTGAAATAGAGGGACTAAACAGCATCTTAGCCACTTTTCCTAGTTAGAAGACAAGAGTTAAGGGACGCCTGGGTGGCTCAGCGGTTTGGCGCCTGCCTTCGGCTCAGGGCCTGATCCTGGAGTCCCGGGCCTGCTTCTCCCTCTGCCTGTGTCTCTGCCTCTCTCTCTCTCTCTCTCTCTCTCTCTCTCTGTGTGTGTGTGTGTGTGTGTCTCTCATGAATGAATAAATACATAAAATCTTTTTTTTAAAAAAAAAAGAAGAGTTAATATAAGAATGTAGAATGATTTGATCACCTAAATCCCAGAGTTTAGAGCAAAAACCCAGAGATGCAAATTCTCCATCTGCAATCCTGAAGATCCAGGCGGCTCCTAATACCAAACCTTGTTTCGCTGAACAGCGCCCTCTTCTGGCTAAGGGCCCTTTCTCCAGCCAGCTACTTCCCTACTTGCTGCTTTTAAAGAGATGTGTAAAAAAAAAAAAAAAAAAAAAAGATGTGTAGAATCGAGGTCCACCAGTCCTTCATGAACCAAGGGCTGAGTGCCCAGGCCCTGGAGATACCACCTGAATCAGACATGGGCTTCCCCATCCTTATGGAGCTGATGCTCATTTGAACTTCCTGACATGTCTGAGAGTGTGGGGCAAAGTTCAGAACTCCCACTTGACAGATAAGATCTTTTTTTTAAAGATTTTATTTATTTATTCATGAGGTACAGAGAGAGAGAGAGAGAGAGGCAGAGAGAGAAGCAGGCTCCACGCTGGGAGCCCAACATGGGACTCGATCCCAGGTCTCCAGGATCACACCCCAGGCTGGAGGCGGCGCTAAACTTCTGGGCCACGGGGGCTGCCCTTGACGGATAAGATCTTAACTGAGTCAGGGTCGGCAGATAGAACTTTACTACGTTATCAAATTTTTATTTTATTTATTTATTTGACAGAGAGCATGAGCAGGGGGAGCAGCAGGCAGAGGGGGAGGGAGAAGCAGGCTCCCCATGGAGCAAGGAGCTCGATGCAGGACTCAATTCCAGGACCCTGGGATCATGACCTGAACTGAAGGTGGATGCTTAGCTGACTGAGCCACCAGGGCACCCCCATTATTGATAATTTGGGACTCGTTTTTAGGGCACAAGGAAACAAAAAATCCTCCCACTGAGCATGAGATTGGGCCCAAATTCCTCACTCTCTGTAACCACACCCTGCCTCCTCGCCCTCTACTTCTTAACCTTGAGTTCCCTCCTGCTTGGGAAATCTCCTCATGGTCCCCTGAACCAAGGGCCCCCACCTGTCTATCTCTGTGGCCTCAAGTGCCTTGTCTTGCCACTTCAGCACTGCAGTGATTGCTCCAAAGCCAGTCTCAATTCTCCCTCTTTCTGAAGAGCCTCTGGCCCTCCCTGAACATCTTACCCTCCAGCATCCCTGCTACTGTAATATACATGTGGTAAGATATCCAGGCAGGAACTTCGATGTACATCCCGTCTCATCAAGGGCATGGTCTTTGGATGGATCAGACCAACCTGGAGTTCAAATCCCAGATCTGCCACCTACTAGGCTGTGATGTCAAGAAAGTGACATCACCTTCTCAACGCTGACTTCCCCCCGGGGGCACAACATGGGTAGTAACTCCTACCTCACAAGGCTTTTCTGAAACTTAAAGAGTATGTTTCAAGCACTTGATATATAGTAAACAGTTCATATTCTGTATAAGTCCTTTAACATGTCCTATCTGGTCACCCGCTTTATTTCTTTTTTAAAGATTTTATTTATTTATTCATGAGAGATACAGAGAGAGAAGCAGAGACATAGGCAGAGGGAGAAGCAGGCTCCATGCAGGAAGCCCGATGTGGGACTCAATTCCAGGACCCCGGGATCATGACCTGAGCTGAAAGCAGATGCTCAACCACTGAGCCATCCAGGCATTCCTCGTCACCTGCGTTAAAAGCAACCTGGCCCTCGAGGCATCTCCTACAGCCTTGGGCATGGTAGAGAGATATAACCTGGGCACTGCGGGAAGAAAAGGGCTGATGCAAAAGGCCTGATGTTGAAGGCCCATGATATTTTCACAAATCCAAGGAAATGTTTTAATTTCTTTTGAAAATCAGAAGAAAAAGATTAATACACTGAAAAAATTATAATATATATGTTAACATATTTATCTTTATACCAATACAATCATAAAATACAATTTTCAATTAATTTTTATAGAGGAAGGAGCCCACAGAGACCAAAAGCACCTAGGGCCCATTAAGTCTTTATGCAGCCCATATGAAGAAAGGCCGCTACTAAAAAAAAAAAAAAAAAAAAAAAAAAAAAAGGCCTCTTCTAATTAAAAAAAAAAGGGGGGGGGAGCAAACAGTAGTGAGAAAAGAAAGTCACTAGCTAAGTGTTAGGGTCCCTCCTAGCCCTAACATCCGTCAGTTCAGGGAATTCCTTTTGCCTCAGTATGGCAGGATCCTTTACAGAGAGCAATTTTTTTTTTTTTTTAAGATTGAGTTATTTTAGAGAGAGAGCGTGCAGGCACGAGCAGGGGGAGAAGAGGGAGAGGGAGAGACAATCTCCAGCAGACTCTGGGCTGGGTGCCGAGTCCAACTGGATCCCATGACCCTGAGATCAGGACCTGAGCTGAAACCAAGAGCCAGTCGTACCACCCAGGCACCCCCAGGGTGCAT